TAATAATTATCAATGCATTCAAGACATTTATTATTTACACAAGTCTTGCAGATAGTAGTTTAACATTAGAATTTACACGCATTGCTACAACCATCATAATTGATTGAATTAAAATCATCACATTCTTCTGAATTTCTATTAAAAGGATCAATTGCTAAATAACCATCCCTACATATATTTCTACAAAAAAAACTAACAGGTTGAAATCCCACTACTTTACATTCTAGACATTTTGAACCATCAGAACTGCATTTTAAACAATCATTTCTACATACATTCTTACACTAATAACATCCATCATTTTAATCAATATCTTATCCATCATCACATTATTCTTATCCAACAACAATAGAATCACCACAATTTTCTACACAAGTTTTTGTATCAATGTCAACAATCCAACCATAAGTCTGACATTAATAGCATAACCCTCTCATGCATTATGTACATTAGGTTTAACATTCAAGTTTACATTCATAACACCCATCAAATTATATCAAATTACCATCATCACATTCTTCTGTTCCACTTATGATTCCATCACCACATACATTTAAACAAGGTAAAATTGTAAATTCATTACAAGTCAAACATTATTTTGGACATTAATATCTACAATTATAACATCCATCATCTAAAATATTATTACCATCATCACATTCTTCATCCCCATTCTTAATTAGATCTCCACATATAGGAATACATTAATTGTTTTAATTTGTAAATCCAGTTAAACATGAAAAGGGTTAGCAAACTTAATTAAACCAAATTATAGAATTATCACCACATTATTTATAACATTTATACAGATTTGAATCTTCAATGTTTGGACATGAGACACAAATATCATTTAATTCAAAATATCCAGTTTAACAAGAACAATTAAGTCCATTTAATATTCTATTTTCAAAATTATTGCAAGTTAAACAAGAGTCTTCAGAGGATAAAAAACAATTTGAACATTTTTGGTGGCATTGCATACATGTTTAATTAGATTTATCAAAATAATATCCATTTACACAATTACAAGTATTACCTATTTTTTCAACTTTATCTAAAATGATGCATTCATGACAATCCATATTTGATGGTCCAAAACATTTAGTACATAAAACATTACATACTTAACATTCAATATTAATATTATCATCATAATAACCATCATAACATAAGCATTAATCATAAAATAGATATCTAAATTTAGATTACTCACAATGAATGCATTCATTTTTCAATTTGCATTGTTTGCATTTAGGATTGCATTCTAATATATAATATAAACTTATTACAATCACAGATCTAATTCTATTCATCAAAATACTCATTTATTTAACATTATAATAGACACTTTGTAATGAAAATTTAATAAGGATATTTACAAGTTAGACATTCAAATTCATTAAGACAAGTTTCACATTCTTAAGGACATTCTTCACATTTTAAATATTCATCATCATAATACTAAGTAGAACTGCATTATGATGGATTAAGTATTACTACTGATGCATCAAAAGTATCCATTATTTAACAATTATCTTCATCTAAACACTAAAGGCAATAGGGACTACAATAATGAACTACAATATAATAATGTGAGATTGCACAATATTAATCTAGAACATTGTTAGATGGTCCATAACATTAAAATGAAATTGATAAAGTAGGCGAAGGAGTTGGAACATTAATACTTATTGTAGAATTCATAGTGACTTATTGTTCAGTTTAATTATTTACTGAATATCCCAAATATCCTAAAACACCATCAAAATTGCATCCAAATACAGCGTCAAAATATATAGTCAATGAATGGTATGCTGAATTAATAGTATATATTTAGGAAAATCTGGCTGTGGCCCAAACATATTTCCCTCCATAAACAACATTTTTTTCAATATATGACCAATAGATTTCATCACCTTTTTAAAAGTCTTTACTTGTATAAGATTCTAAAACAAAAGAAGACTTTATATTATTAGGAACTGTAAAATCATAGAATTGTTATATAAAATATTTTGAGTCTAATATTATTGGATTATGTTTACATTTAGTCACTTAATCATATTTGATGCAAATATTATTCTAAAGTATTGAAGTTTTTGGACATAATCTTACACAGTTTCCTTCAGATACTATTTTATACCCAGTCACACATTATGAACAAGTATAATCTTACTCACATTTTAAACAATAAGGTGGACAGTGTGCACTACTCATTAAAATGTAAGGCAAAAACCATCCAGAATTACCAGATCTAAATTTAAATAAATAATCTTTACGTAAAGTTTCCTTTAATTGAAAAAGTGAAGCCTCCTTATTCTACATAAAGATTAGTGTATAATTATATATATTTTGCAGTTTAGCAACCACTTAATACTGTGTTAGATGTATAATAAACATTAAGGTTATTCCCAATATATTATGTTCCATCATAGTATATTGAAGAATAGTAGGTATCATTTAAATATATAGAAATTCCTGAATTTATTGGAGTTGCATTACACATATAAATATACAAATACACTCCTAATGGATATACAAAATATGTAGTATTAACTATAGTGCTTGCTCCTTCATAATATTTAAAAATTCCAAAAAATGGGGAGTTTTTTTTATTTTCATGATTCAAATATCTTGGATCATAAATAATATCCCACCTTATTAATTGAGAATATTAGAAATTGAATTAATACAAATACAAGAAATAAGATGGTTAATAATATTTACAATACCTTTTCCTTCTATCTGTAGACCCAAAGATACAATAATCTAAACATCTTCCACTAAATAACGATTTTCCTTTTGGACATCGACAAATTCCATTTTATAGACTTACATTTGAAAAACATGTTGTACACTAATTATAGGCATCTCCTGTACATGTTTAGCAAGTAGGATGACAGGAAATATATGAAAAATGGATATTTTTAATTAATGCTTTTGTCTACTAATTGATTATACTGAACTTTATATCAGTATATTAAGTGGTATAAGGAAGAGATATTTGATATGTTCTTACTTCGTGTTGGTCAGAATTGCATGCCCCATTTTCAAATTATAATGGATTCTATGTAGAATAGATAAATTAATAAGCTTAATTTTCGTATTCAAATATCAGTGCGTCATTATTCCATTATGTAATATAGTAGACGTCAAATACAATTGTATGATTATATGAATAACGATTCTAACTATAATATTAGTAATTTGAAACAGTTGTCATTTATGAATCTTATAAAATTAAAGCTGTTCCTGTTGGATTAGTACAATTTTTATAGAGGGCACTTTTTGTACTCTAATTTTACTTAAATCCAAATGGGCATTTATTATCTGAACAATAAAGCAAAGAAGCCTGATGAAAGTAGCTATAATAAACTGTCCATTAAGCAATAACAATTTGTAATTGAAAGAAAATTAGCATATTAATTAATCTGTATATGTTTATTTAAAAAATATCAAAAATGGATAAACATCTTTAAAGATTATCATTGTTAATACAATAGTAAAAGATTGTAAGCTGATTAATAATAGAATCAAATTTATTAGAATTAAGTTATTTATAGTTTAACCTATCTATTAATCTGTTCCAAACTGAATCATTATATAAACTATTTTCATTTATTTGTTTTATAAATTAATGCCAGAATAATTTAATATAGAAATATAAAAATTATTGATTTTAATATTAAGCTTATTTAATCTTTAAACTTTTTTTTAGTTTCTTTATTTATTTTTATTAATATATTTTTAGTAAAATAAAAAAAATCTTTATAGTTTTGAATTCAAGAAGAATATACTTTTCTGTTCTTTAATTATTTTAATCCAATTTACTGAAAATTGATGAAGAATTTTGTTTTCATTAATGTAGAGATGGGAATTGAATGAATTAATTATTCAGTCTTTCACAAAATAAACGAAATTTTCAAAATATTAATGATATTAGGAATAAGATGTAATAATAATATATTAGTTTAATGAGTTATTCTAATCTCTCTCCTTTAAGCTAATCAAGTGAATCTAATTCATAAAGGAATAAAAAGAATATTGTGAATTTTGATGTTATTCATGATCCTGTTTTGGAGAAAAATCATGGTAACAATTAAAGGATTGGCAGATCATCTTTAAAGAATTAAAAAATGTAGAATATGGTGAAAACAGTCAATAAATATTTATAAACTTATGAAATATATTTAAAACTCTTACTTGGAAGACGGATAAAAAGTAAAGATGAATAAAAGTTGAATAATAAATTTGGTCGATTCATTGGATAGATTGATGAAAATATCTTACCAGAGGCAGTATTAAAGTAAATATTGATAATTAATAAAGGTTTCCTAATCCTGATTGTTTATAATGCGAATAGTTAGAAATTATGTCACCTATCGATACAATCCTCTTTATAGAAAAAGTTCTTAAATTAGACATGAAGAAAATAGACAATTAAATATTTATGAAAGTACATGAATGAAAAAAAGTTTGGCAGAAAGATAAAATTTACTAAGTTCAGCCGCCTTTAGATTGAATAATAGAATATGGAAGCCAAGTGATTTTGATGAATTACAGATAACTATTTATATCTAATACCAGAAAATCTTCCAATTATTGGATATATTAATTTAAAAGAGTTTCCAGAGAAACTAATCAATGTCCGATAAATGGTAATTTTAATAAGGAAAATGGATTAATAGTAATTAAGAAGAATAGTCAACTTTCAATGATAGTTTGCTTACTATTAATATTTAGTTCATTTGGAAAAGGAAATATAAAAACGTAGGAGGCTTTTTATGATGTTGCTGCTATCATTTATAAAAAATGAATAGTTTAACTCCATCAAATTATGAACCATCAAACGATTTTTAATTTAATTGGAAATAAGTTGTAACTTATAGTACAATAGAATAATCAATAGATAATCGGCTTTTCTTAAGTAAAATAGTTGGATAAAATAAATTCGATCTAAATTATTTATTATATGAAATTAGAGCAATACATTAAATATTACATCTAGATAATTATAGACCATTAGATCATTCAATTAATCTTTAAAATTTAGATATATCTAATTTAAATCATGGTTTTTTATAGAATAGTTTAATTGTTAGATTAAAGTTACTTCATAATGAAATATCAATAGAATCTAATTCTTGGTTTCATAGTTCAGGATTATTATAATTTAGAGTATTCTATTTTTAATCTTTATGTTTCACCTTTTCTAGAAAACATTTTGAAAATATGTGTTGTGAATCAAGTAATCTTTTACATCTAGCTGAAATTGCTTTAAAATAAATATCTTATGATCATTAAAGTGATGCACATCGTTTGAAAGCATTTCAAATATTATAAAAACCTTTTTCATTATTTGAATTGAAATCTAATGTGAAATCTAATTAAATTAATTAAATAGTAAGCTCATTTTTCTATGTGTCTTAATATTATAGTATATAAGAAAAAGAATAATATTTTAAGAATATTCTGGATCTATTTGGAGAATAAGTAAAACCTTCTTTGGCAGTGTTGGCATTAATCCATTTTTATCTTTCTAAAGGATAAAAGGAAATTGTTGAATTAATAATTAAGACATCTGTTAAATTGATTCATTTAGATTCATAACTATTCTAAAATGCTCATTTATCATTTGTAGATGATTTACATATTAGTATGCTTGAATGTAATTAAGATGTACTTGAATATCTATATCCTTATGATTGTTTATTTAAAAGAACAACAGATATTAGATCTTTTTCATCAAATCAACAAATTTTAAATCTTAAATATTTAATTTACAATTAATTTTTTCATCAAGATCCAGATTTCAATATTGATATATTAGAAGATCATTTTAAATTATTTGCATCATATCCTTAATTGATAAAATTAAAGAATATTTACTAATTATACATATCCATACAAAAATCAATTAAAGGTGAAATTACCTTTGAAGAAATCGACATGTAAATTTAAATATTATTTAGATTCATTAAAATGTAATTTGAAAATATAACTGTTTATTCTTCAATTATTAAGAGTCTTTTGGCAAGATATTATATTAATTTAAAAGACTATGAAGAAGCAAAACCATTGCTTGAAGAACTAATCTCATTTCTTTATACTATATAAATGAAATCTAATTTTATACTCTATGTTGATAAAGCTAATTATGTAAATATATTATTCAATAAATTATGATAGAAAATTTACAATAATATGCCTATTTTTAAAGGTCTTTTTGATGTTTAATAATTACAGATAATAACAGAAGATTCTGATAATCAATATTACCATTTAATTGATGAGTAATTCATATAAGAAACAATCATAAATTATTTAGAGGTTTTAGCTAATACACAAAATGAAAAATTCAATATGCCAAGTATTTAGGCTATACTTTCATTTTTCTTTTAAGTTAAAAATTTTGCAACTCAACAGAATTTATTTAAAGTATTATCTTAGATATTTTTGTGTTATTCTTCTCCTATTGGAGTAGAACTTGTTCAAGAATAAATAGGAAGCACATATGAGTTATAAGTAATAATTCAAATCTAATTAAGATATAAAATTATGTTTAATAAAGAAATTAAATGAAGGAAAGATTAAATCATTTATTTTTAATAAAATAATTAAGCATCGAGGAAAGCAATAGAATTAATTCTCATATTAATCTATATAATTTTGCCATAGGAATTTATGAAGGGATTAATAAAGGAATCACCAACAAAACAATATTAACTTGGAGTATTTCTGCTGCTGAAAAAGCACTTATTGGATATAGAATAGTGAGTAAATAATTTCAAAGATAAATTCATTATCAGATTGCAGATCTTCATTTGATTTTAACAGATTGTTTTATATAGTTGGAATAATTATCAACTATCATATTTCATTTAGAAGCTGCAGAAGATGAATTAATGAGTTGGTTTAAATAGAATAAACATCCTCTAAAAGCTCATTTCTTAATGAAATAAGGAGCTTTAAGACCTTGGATATAAGAATAATTTATTTTATATATATCATGGATGAATGAATTACCTCGATTAAATAGATTAAATATTTTCACCATAATTAGAGGGTTATTACTTTAAAATAGAAAATTATTATAAATATTTGAATAGAATAATTAAGACCTTATAAATCTAGAAATCAATCTTCTTTTTTATTTGAAAGGTTTGGATGAGACTTAATAAGTATATGTTGATATATTTTAATTATGTAAAAATAATGATCCTGAATTAATATTAAAGCAAGTGACTACATTATCAGCTTTCGATTTTAATGGAGTAAATATTTTAATGGATGTAATTATTAAAATTAAATATTTAGGCTTAAGCAATATTTTAAACTTTCAATTAAAATAATTGTTTCACTTAAAAACTATAAATAATGATAGATTAAATGATTTCACAATAAATTATTTGATAATTGAATTAAATCTTAATATTAATAATCAAAAATTAATTCATTAAACTATTTAAAATAAACTAATTGAATCATTTCTTAGATTATTATTTGTTAAAACTAAGTCTAAAAGAACTTCTATCTATTATACNAGTAAGGCATTAAGAATCTTCACAATATTCGCAATTATCTATCTAGCAGAGTTTATGATTCAAATCTTTTGGATAACATTTTCCATTTAAAATTTCATAATTTTTCTTGCATTAAATACATTAATTATTTTTATCACAGATTTAACAAGTCTTATTACAGATAATCTTACAATTTTGACATTGATCATCTTGATCATTTAATTACATTCCATTATCGCATTCTTCATCAGGTATTGCAAGAATACCATCACCGCAAATGTTGAAACATTATGCTATTTAAGTATCAAAATAATAACCTAATTTACAAGCATTACCATCATCAAAACATTAACCTAAAATACATAATGGGCAAGCAGGATAACATGAATATTTACATTTATAACATCCATCATAAGCAATATCATTATCATCTTCACATTATTCACTTTATGATAACAGGCCGTCTCCACAAATATCAAAGCAAACATTGTTATTCAAATCAGGATATAATCCAATTTCAGTGCATTATACTGCAGGTTCGCATAAATTTGTTTTCAATCTTAAAAAATATCCTTCTTCACATGATAAACATATTCCCAATTAGCAATAAGTACAATTTTGATTACAAAGGAGTTAGCATTAGTTACAAATAATATTACTAATATGTAATTCATCATCACATTATTCATATCCACTAATTTTAGCATCTCCGCATTAACTTTGACAAATGGATGTTATAGAATTAAGATAATAATTATCTTCGCATACTAAGCAAATATCATTAATGGCCTCCTTACAAAATTCATTAAATCCTTTGGTAAGCTTATTTAAAATTATCTAATTTAAACTTTCATCAAAGTTTGAAATTTTATTATTAAAGAATGATAGATCATTCTAGCACAATCCATAATATATCATAAAACCAAGTTAACACCGTATACATATACCTAAGTAACATGTCTGACAAGTTGAATTACATGAATATTTACATGCATGGCAACCATCAAAGGGTTCTAAATTACCATCATCGCAATCTTCTTCTGGGACAGTTAATCCATCTCCACAAATACTTTCACATCGTATACCGATTAATTGATATCCTTAAACACAAGATAAACAACCATTTATAGTGCAATTCGAACAGCTAGCTTGACAAGATAATTAACAATTGTAACATCCATCATAAAGTAAACTATTCATATCTTCACATTTTTCTTATCCAATAATTATGTTATCATTGCATATTTCTATGCATTTATTATTTTTTTGATCTAACTAATAATTATCAATGCATTCAAGACATTTATTATTTACACAAGTCTTGCAGATAGTAGTTTAACATTAGAATTTACACGCATTGCTACAACCATCATAATTGATTGAATTAAAATCATCACATTCTTCTGAATTTCTATTAAAAGGATCAATTGCTAAATAACCATCCCTACATATATTTCTACAAAAAAAACTAACAGGTTGAAATCCCACTACTTTACATTCTAGACATTTTGAACCATCAGAACTGCATTTTAAACAATCATTTCTACATACATTCTTACACTAATAACATCCATCATTTTAATCAATATC